ATCACTTTCTACAATTTTAATTCACTCAAAACTTTTCGATCAATGGACAAAAGGATAAATCGTCCCTGGGTGGTCTTGAACCACCAACCTTTCAGTTAACAGCCGAACGCGCTAACCGATTGCGCCACAGAGACAACTATGAATTTATTAATTTTTTTTTGTCTTCCTGGTTAGCTCAGTCTTTTGAGCATAAGACTCTGGTGTTGCTCGAACTGAGAGGTAGCTGACAAGAATTGAAAGGTTGCATGTCAGCCTGGCTAGCTCAGTCGGTAGAGCATGAGACTCTTAATCTCAGGGTTGTGGGTTCGAGCCCCACGTTGGGTGCATATTATTTTCATCACTTTCTACAATTTCAATTCACTCAAAACTTTTCGATCAATGGACAAAAGCATATATCGTCCCTGGGTGGGCTTGAACCACCAACCTTTCAGTTAACAGCCGAACGCGCTAACCGATTGCACCACAGAGACAGCTATGAAGTTATTTAATTTTTTGGTCTGCCTGGTTAGCTCAGTCGGTGGAGCATAAGTCTCTGGAGTTGCTCAAACTGAGAGGTAGGTGACAATAATAAAAGGTTGCATGTCAGCCTGGCTAGATCAGTCGGTAGAGCATGAGACTCTTTGGTCATGGGTTCGAGCCCCACGTTGGGCGCATAATGTTTTCATCACTTTCTACAATTTCAATTCACTCAAAACTTTTCGATCAATGGACAAAAGCATAGATCATCCCTGGGTGGACTTGAACCACCAACCTTTCAGTTAACAGTCGAACGCGCTAACCGATTTCGCCACAGAGACAACTATGAACTGATTTAATTTTTTGGTCTGCCTGGTTAGCTCAGTCGGTGGAGCATAAGTCTGTGGAGTTGCTCGAACTGAGAGGTAGGTGACAATAAATGAAAGGTTGCATGTCAGCCTGGCTAGCTCAGTCGGTAGAGCATGAGACTCTTGGGTCGTGGATTCGAGCCCCACGTTGGGCGCATAATGTTTTCATCACTTTCTACAATTTCAATTCACTCAAAAATTTTCGATCAACGGACAAATCGTCCCTGGGTGGTCTTGAACCAGCAACCTTTCAGTTAACAGCCGAACGCGCTAACCATATGTGCCACAGAGACAACTATGAATTTATTTAATTTTTTGGTCTGCCTGGTTAGCTCAGTCGGTGGAGCATAAGTCTCTGGAGTTGCTCGAACTGAGAGGTAGGTGACAATAAATGAAAGGTTGCATGTCAGCCTGGCTAGCTCAGTCGGTAGAGCATGAGACTCTTGGGTCGTGGTTTCGAGCCCCACTTTGGGCGCATACTATTTTCATCACTTTCTACAATTTCAATTCACTCAAAACTTTTCGATCAATGGACAAAAGCATATATCGTCCCTGGGTGGGCTTGAACCACCAACCTTTCGGTTAACAGCCGAACGCGCTAGCCGATTGCGCCACAGAGACAACTATGAATTTATTTAATTTTTTGGTCTGCCTGGTTAGCTCAGTCGGTGGAGCATAAGTCTCTGGAGTTGCTCGAACTGAGAGGTAGGTGACAATAAATGAAAGGTTGCATATCAGCCTGGCTAGCTCAGTCGGTAGAGCATGAGACTCTTAATCTCAGGATCGTGGGTTCGAGCCTCACGTTGGGCGCATAATGTTTTCATCACTTTCTACAATTTCAATTCACTCAAAACTTTTCGATCAAAGGACAAAAGCATAGATCGTCCCTGGGTGGTCTTGAACCAGCAACCTTTCAGTTAACAGCTGAACGCGCTAACCCTATGTGCCACAGAGACAACTATGAATTTATTTAATTTTTTGGTCTGCCTGGTTAGCTCAGTCGGTGGAGCATAAGTCTCTGGAGTTGCTCGAACTGAGAGGTAGGTGACGATAAATGAAAGGTTGCATGTCATTCTGGCTAGCTCAGTCGGTAGAGCATGAGACTCTTGGGTCGTGGTTTCGAGCCCCACTTTGGGCGCATACTATTTTCATCACTTTATACAATTTCAATTCACTCAAAACTTTTCGATCAATGGACAAAAGGATAAATCGTCCTTGGGTGGTCTTGAACCACCAACCTTTCAGTTATCAGCCGAACATGCTAACCGATTGCGCCACAGAGACAACTATGAATTTATTTAATTTTTTGGTCTGCCTGGTTAGCTCAGTCGGTGGAGCATAAGTCTCTGGAGTTGCTCGAACTTAGAGGTAGGTGACAATAAACGAAAGTTTGCATTTCAGCGTGGCTAGCTCAGTCAGTAGAGCATGAGACTCTTAATCTCAGGGTCGTGGGTTCGAGCCCCACGTCGGGCGCATAATGGTTTCATCACTTTCTAAAATTTCAATTCACTCAAAACTTTTCGATCAATGGAGAAAAGCATAAATCGTCCCTGGGTGGGCTTGTACCACTAACCTTTCAGTTAACAGCCAAACGTACTAACTGATTACGCCACAGAGACAACTATGAATTTACTTAATTTTTTCGTCTGCCTGGTTAGCTCAGTCGGTGGAGCATACGTCTCTGGAGTTGCTCGAACTGAGAGGTAGGTGACAAT